CTTCTAAAGTAGCCCAAAATACCACCTTATCTCAGGTGGATGACTACGTAGCTTGATAGAACTGAAAGGCCAATTAATAACAACCCCAAACAACAACATGCCACTATGCCAGGATTTGTATCCTTGGGGTTACCCTTGAGGGCTGGGATCCAATTTGAAGACATTTGTCCCTTTGTCTATCCATGCCATTTGGCACCATCCTGCAGTGTTTGGAAGCTGCTGGAGTAACTCGGGCCATACGGGTCAGGCAATGGCTGGCACAAGAATAACCCTGCCAGGGCTTATGTCCCACGTAAGCAGCCATTCTGAGTCTCGGCCAAGACAACATCAACATGCCAATGGAAACTGCACACAGCCTGCATTAAATCCTGTAAGTCACCAGTCACACTGCTTCCAAAAGGTGTGTTAACATCATTGAACTCACATATATATTTTTAAAGTCAGCCTGATATTCTTATTTACTTATTAGCTTATTGAAATTCAATTGCTTTCTTAAAAGAAAACTGTTTGAATTGAATGCAACCTAACCAGACTTAGCTATCTGGTTCGACTCACCATCTACACCATGCCTTTGACAGTGAGCTCAATCAGTATAGTTAGCTTAAAAAAAAAAGCCACACAAACACATCACCTGGGACATTGTCAACTGAATTGTGCTTTTGTAAACAAAACGGTCAAAGCAAATACCAGTAAGAGGTAAATAGTAAATAAGAGTGTTGTTACAAAATTGCTTCCTGAACCACCACGATTCAAATATCTGAATAAACATACAAAGAAAACATCTCTGAAGGTATAAGCCAGACTATTACATAGCAGATAATCTCAGCCCTAAACACCAAATTTCATTCTGTGGGAAAGCAACTGAAATATAACAACAAATTGATGCTTTACGTATGTTTCATATTTACTAATTTCAGTTGGGCCACTCTAAGCAATCAATCTGAGCTAGCAAAATGCGAACTAAGGTAAATTAATTAAATCTGCAGAGGGTGGGCAGGCTCTGTTCACATGCATATGTTAATACATGGTTGATAGGAGAAGTACTTTTACTTGTTATGTCCTTGTTTATCTAGAGAACAGAGGCAGGGCTACTTCCCTGAACAGCAGGCCCTTACCTTGGCTGTGAGCACACAAAACAGTGAAAGAAGAACATTAAAAAGAGGATTTGGAGTTTTGATGGATTTCTGCTTACCAGCATATGCAAGTCTGACGATAGTGGCTTCATCCTGGGCCAAGTGTGCAATGCCTGGCAGGATATACTCTGGGTAAATGTTAATATCATTGCGTGGCACCTCTTTGACGAGAGCAAGAACTTTAGTTAGTGTCCTCACTGATTCTGCCCTCACTCTGGGCACAGAGTCGTTGCTGAAATGTAACAGATAAGGAGTAATACGATCCAGAAGAATCTCAACACTTAATCTTGGTGCTAAATGAAGAATCAGCTCCAAAGCAGCCAGTTTTGAGTCACAGTATTTGAGAGTCTGTAAACAGGAAGTTATCACTGACACTAGGATAACCAGCCCATTCTCTTTGGTCTCTCCCTCAGCTTTCTCCGTGCGATCATGGCCACAGAGATTGTGAATGATGTTGTCCAGATCTTTACGTATGACCAATATACGCTCATCTGCTGATACAAATGTTTCCTTGGCAAACTGGGCCATATAAGGCTGAAGGAAAGTGTAAAATATTTCAGGAAACGCATTGTTACGTTGCTGTTTCAAGTAATCTTCAGCTGCTAAACGTTTATCTGGCTCCCGATGGACCATCTGAGTGACCTTGAGAAAGGCAGAAGAAGGAGGGAGCAGGAGAGAAAGATTAATGGTTTAGACATTCATAATGCAAAAAAAAAAAAACAACAACCCAAACTCACAGTCAAAATCACCAAGCAATTTGTCACAAAAGGAGGTGAAATAAACTACACACAGACCACAGAAATGGTTCTGATGCTGCAGCCCACCCTTACCAGCTCTCTGATACTGCGGTCTTCAATTTTGTTTAGGACTTGATCAGGGGAAAAGAGGCCATTTCTGTAAGCCAGAAGCTGAGATAAATCAAACAAGGGGACGCCTTCTGTGAACAGCTCTGCTATTACACAGCCTGGGGGGAAAAAAAAAGTCAAAGATGTGAGGGAACTGCAAACAGAAATTTTGTTTTCTGTACACAGATAAAAACAGATCCTATGTGAACCTTAGCTTGATTAAAAACAAGGCTAATGAGCTGACTAATTAACTTGTGGAAAGGGGTAGCATCTCCATCTCTAAAAACTGGCTTTTGCCTCCCAGGTATTTTGCCTCTGAAATGCCTCTCAGGCATTCTATTTCAAACATGCCAACAGCAAAGAATTTTGCAATTAGGAAACATGAGGTACTGATTTCAACCACCTGCCAAATGGAAAATATATCAGAAAATGAACCCACATCACCGTTACAGGGAAGAGTGCCAGTAAATCAAGCATGGACTAAGCAAGAGGTCAAAGTAAGAACAGTAATGCTAAGGGCAGCATACATTCACTCAAACAAGTTCCTAAGAACAGTGAGAAATAAGAAGATTGGCAGGCATGGCACCCTGTTGTGTGTATGATGCATGTCCTCTTCAAAGGCTTGTGTCCCGTTCCTGCAGTTTGCTTTCCATGGTTAGGATCTTGTCCTGTCAGTGGAGCAGCCTGGAAACTTGGCTGGTGAAAGCTAAGTAACCATTACTTCAACTTTCAGGTTTTAATTATTTTTTTTCTAACAGGCCAAACATATGACTCAAAACAATCCTGTGACTCAGGACAGGCTCCCACAGCAGGACTCTATCAAGAATTTCTGAGTGGAACCATGACAGGAGCTTACTGAGTTATCCAACTTCCTGCTTTTGGGAAAAATATAATGACAAGGAGATTCTGAAGCTAATATTGCCAAATTGTGCTGGAAAGCAGCTCTGTTCCCAAGCAGTCAGATCTTAACTGTGCCACTGACTGGCTCCTCCTCATGGTCCCATGAAACATACACTGCATCCCTAGGACCTCAACCACCTGATGATCACAGTCTGTGGCCTATAGAGCCACCTCTTTTCCAGGGCAGAGATAAGCTGTAACAGAATGGTGACTGACTGCGCTCCTCAGATAACATGGGGATGCATTTAAGTCATGCAGCTTACTCTATTGTGCCTGTACTTTTTCTGTGACTGAAAGATTTAGAGACCAGTTCTAATGCTTAAGGTAAGCAATTTTTTTCCACAAGCTGTTCTCCAGGCCTGCTGTAATCAAAAAGCAAAAGATAAAAAGTAAAAAGAACAAACAAACAAAAAAAATAACAAGCTTCTTTGCACCCCTGACCAGCAATCATGAAGGCCACACGGATCTCTCTCAGTACCTGCAGAAAAGATGTCCATTGCACGTTTTAACTCCCCCCTTGTTCGCTGGTTGCTGTTGGCCAGGTCTACTAGAGGAGTGGAGGGATCTCGCATGTTTTCCAGCTCCGTGGCAAACATGCTGCCATCGACAAAGCGCTCGGGAGCGATGTAGCACGTCCTCCTCCGCGACGTGTCGAAGAAATAGTTGAAGTCGGCAGGGTTGTCTTCAGGAAGATAAGTTGGCTTAAAACTGGCAAAGTCCGTCAGAAGAACCCAGTTCCAGCTGGTCACCATGATGTTTTCAGTCTTAATGTCCCCATGGCGGACGCCAGATTTGTGCGCTTGGTCCACCGCCGTCAGGATCTGGAAAGCGATCCACCTCTTCTCGATGTTATTGAGGAACGGCCTCGTGCTGATCCGATCGTACAGGTTGTCCCGCACGTATTGCCTGAAGAGCATGGCGGCCTTCTCGGACAAGGTCGCTTTCTGGAAGGGGAGGCAGTTCTGTGCCGAGTGCAGCCGGATCTTCAGCTCCTCCAGCTCCTGCTTGTAGCTCGTCAGGGGCAGGGTCGGGTCCTGGATGGCAAACACCTTCACCACCACCAGCCCCTCCCGGTGCTTGGCTCGGGCCACCTTGAAGAAGCGGGTGCTCCCCAGGCTTTTGTCATACTCGAAGTCGTGGATGTCAGAGAAATAGCTGTCCACCGAGAGGATCTGCGACGGGGCGATGCCAGCCAGCTGGTTCCCCATGGTGGCCCCTCCTGCAGCGACGGGCGGCACCCGTCCACCTCGGGAAAAAGACAACGAACGTTTCAACCCGGATAGGCTCGGCCCGACCGCGATCTACCCCCTTTCCCGCGCAGCCTCCGCTTCCCCCAGGCCGCGGTCCCGCGAGGGCCCCGTCGCCGCCACTCCCGCCCCTTTCTGGGCTCCCCCACCGGCCCCAGCTTCGGGCGGCACCGCGGCCCCTCGTGGCGCTCACCGGCCAGGCCCGGCCCGGCGCAGCCCGCCCGGCCTGGCAGAGCCGGGACACCCCCGGCCGCGGGATGCAGCGAGGCGGGACTGAGAGCGGCGGAACCGGCACCATGAGCTGGGCGGGGACGGGGCGGTGCCGTGAGCTCACATCCTGCGCCGGCATGTCGGCCTGGGGTCGGGGAGCTTTTCGGCGGTGACCTGGGGGTAGCTTTTTCTTATCCCCGTTATCAGAGACTCCCCCACCATGCCCGCTGAGCACGTCCCTCAGTGGCACATCCACACGGTTCTTGAGCACCTCCAGGGACGGTGACTGCACCACCTCCCTGGGCAGCCTGTGCCACTGCATCACTGCTCTTTCTCAGAAGAAATTCTTCCTCATATCCAACCTGAACCTCCCCTGGTACAACTTAACTCCCATCCCAACACTGTTACCTGGGAGCAGAAGCCGACCCCCACCTCACCACAGCCTCCTTTCAGGCAGCTATAAAGAGCGATCATGTCGCCCCTGAGCCTCCTCTTCTCCAGACCGAACAATCCCAGCTCCCTCAGCCGCTCCCCGTAAAATTCGTGCTTCAGACCCCTCACAGCTTTGCTACCCTTCTCTGAATGCACTCCAGGGCCTCAATGTCTTTCTTGCAGCGAGGGCTCAAAACAGCACAGCACTCAGCAGTGCGGAGAACAGAGGGACGATCACCTCCCTGCTCCTGTGGCTGCACTATTTCTGGTAAGTAAGCCAGGATGCTGTAGGCCTTCTTGGCCACCTGTGCACACTGCTGGCTTATGTGCAGCTATCTGCTCACTAACACCCCAGATCCTACAGCTTTCCAGCCACTCTGACCCAGGCCTGTAGCATTGCCTGGGGTTGCTGTGACCAGTGTGCAGGACCCAGCACTTTGTTTTGTTGAATTTCATCCCACTGGACCTTTCTACCCTCAGGCAGATCAACACTTCTTCCAAACTGGTGTCGTCTGCAAACTTACTGAGGGTACACTCAATCCTCTTGTCCAGATCAATAAAAACATTAAACAGAGCAGGCCCCAATGCTGACACTGTGTGTCTGCAACAGGCACAGCAGACCTTCCTTGTGCTCAGCATTGGTGGAGGCATGGGATATCTGCTTTTATGGGCTCAGTACCGAGGAAGTGTAAACTGCTAGGGTCAAGAAATGCTAATGGGAGATCAGATGTGTCAGTAGAACTGGCTTTAGATGCATCAGCCAGGACATCCTCTTGGCTGTGTGAAGGGCAGCGTGGCTGCCATGCTGCATTCCCCCCATGCTCAGCATTGGGTACGTGTGAAGAGCCTGGCTAGATGACTTCCCTACTTGGTCTGTTCTAGTGGGATTTTGTGTACCTGTGGTATAAGAAGAAGGTCTTCCATAGCAAGTCAGTGGGGGAAAAAAAATAATTAAAAAAAAAAAAAAAAAAAAAAGGGCATTTTTGTATTGTTTAATCTGAAAATTCTTGAGAACAAGGAGAAGCCCTGAGCAGAATATTGCCCTACTTTCCTTGGTCTCTGCATTTCCCATGCATTGCCTGTCAGCTGGGAAAGAAAAGGGAGTATCTTACTCTACATCACACTGGTGCAGCCTCACCTTAAGTACTGTGTGCCTCAGTACAAAAAGGAGCATAAACTGTTAGAGAGTGTCCAAAGGATGGCTACAAAATGGCAAAGGGTCCAGAGGGGAAGACCTGTCGGGCATGACTGCGCTCCATGTGTTTGCTCAGTGCAGAGCAGAGGAGCTGAGGGGAGACCTCATGGCCTCTGCAGCTCCAGCTCCTCACAGGGAGCAGAGTGGCAGCGCTGAGCTCTGCTCTGTGTGACAGCGACCAGACACAAGAGAAGGGAGCTGTGCCAGGGGAAGGCACAGCTGGGGGTGAGGGGCAGGGTCTGTGCCAGAGAGCGGTGGGCATGGAACAGCCTGCCCAGGGCACAGCCCCAAGTGCTGGAGTTCAAGGAGCATTTGGACTGTGCTCTCAGACATTGGGTTTGGATTTTGGGTGGTCCTGTGTGGAGCTGGAGGCTGGACTCAATTGTCCTCATTGGAGGGCCCTCCCAAGTTGGGATATTCTATGATTCTGTGTTGTTTCATCGCTCTCTAACACTCACATTACTAGAGAAATGAAATTTGGTTCCCTACACTGGTAAAAGTATGATAGTAACTTACTCAAATACGTGATTTCCACCAGCCATGTGTGAAGTCACTTAATCAGGTTGTCCCCAGAGTGCTTGGGATTGTGGTAGGAAGGCTTCCTGCTGGGAGGAATCCCACCTGCAGGCTGCTGCTGGAGCTCAGCAGCAATCTCAGTTCAGTTCCAGGGCTGTGGTAGAGCTAGGACTAGTGTTAGGGGAGTGAGAAGAACAAAACCTGCTGGTATCAGATCAGTACTCAGCCACGGTTCCCTTCTAGAGCTGTAGCTTGCCCATTTGCCCCCCAAATGGCCCTTGGAAGTCTCATTTTCAGGCTAATGGCAAGCTGGGCATTTTCTTAAAAGTTAGTGACTGGATAATCAGAAAATTTCCATTGGCAGCCCCTCCTGCTGATGCACCTCACATGCTGTTCGGACAGGAAACACCTTGCTGCTAACAACTTAAGAGCCTACACCTCCCTAAACAGAGTGCATGAGTGCTTGTGCTCCTTCCCATGGCTGAGCGCCCATCTCTATTGTGAAGAGATGCCAGAGGCAGTGTGGTCAAAGCCTGAGACGACCAGAGAGGAACATCTTCATGGCCAGCATTGAACTGGCCAGGAATGCCTAATGTAATGCATATTATCCTAATTTTCCTATGGATAAAAGGCTCAAGTTAATAAATTCCATTGCTTGGAGGCATTTATGTTGTATGAAACCAAAACTTCTCTGGAAGAAAAAACAGATTCAGCAACATTTCACTCAAGAATCTTGGAGTCAAAACAAAGCTTTGAAACTCAAATTCAAACTGCAGATGGCCTGGAAGATTTTCACTGCAATGGTTCTTTGAGTGTTTTGGATATATGTGTATTTGCCTTTGAATATGTGTGTTAGTTTATCAGTTGACTTTATCTGTATGGCACTTTTCTTATTATTAACTTGGGAGTGACTCAAGATTTGTGCGTCTCACCCCTGATTAGTTGTATAAGTGTTTTTAAACCTTCTGCAACACCCTTCTGCTCTATCAAATCTTCTGACAGCCTGCTTTGCTGATTTAGACTAACCTCTCTGCCCGCAATTTAACAGTGATCCCAGGCATTTAAATGGGAGAAAGTCTGAGCTAAGAAATGCTTTAAAGTGTACTTTCTTTATGAGCACCCAAAGCAGGATTGCTTGAAATTCCCAGGCTATGAAGTATGGCCATGAAGTATTTGTTGTGTAGTCTTGTGGTGATTGTTTCTGAATGCGAATCGCTTGCACCTGAATGCTTCTTTCAAAACAGCCATGTACAAAATTAATTCCACAAAATGCAGTGTGAATCAGTATGGAAGAGGAAAGTTATGTTTATTTTAAACAAATTTTATTTCAGTCACCTACACATTCTGTTCTAGCTGCAGTAGATGCACTCCCACACCGTGTACTCAGAAACATCAAGGTGGATGTCTGAGTAACCCAGCCAGTATGCAACATGCAACACTAAGAACGTGGTGCTGGCTATCATGTCCTCACTGCATCTCTGCAGTTCCCTGTGTTTTTCAGTGATGAGCAGTTTTGTGGATGTAGCTCTTACACATTCTGTACAATTCAAGCAGTTTTACTTTTTCTCCGGAATATTGATTAGTGTGGCATAGGTAATTGTTGATGTCCATTCCTTGTGTTTGCAGGATCTGGGTACAACCTGTTCTCTTGTCAGGATAACAAGGAAAAGGACTGAACATGTGGCGTGCTGCAGTTTTTTGCCCTTCTCCTATTACCAGAGTGCAGGCTTTCTGGTCCTGCTGCGGACAGCTTTGTACCGCAGATCTCAAAGAAGTGAAGTCTGCAGGTCGGTCCACCAGCGATTTGCCTTCGGCAGCCACTGGGTGGCAGTGCTTCCTCTGCCTTGCTGCTCTTAGAGGATGCCAACGCCTCGAGATGCCCCATGGCTCAGGCATTCCCATCTAGCAAAGAGCTGTCTAAAATATTAAGTATTTCCAGGACTCGTGCAGCAAGCAGGGCTTTGCTGGAAGCTGAGTTTCTTTTTTTATTTATTTTTATTTTTTTAAGTGATTCGAATTGGGGAAGATCTAATTCAGCAGTTCTGGAAGTTTGTTTTTATAGATAGATTTTATGGAAAACAAAGACCTACCATAAAAATCTGTAGCTTACCATTTCCAGGATTTTGACTTCCCATCTTCCCATAGCCCACAGGTTTATGTCTTTTATGTCTCAGCAGATAATAATTTTACAAGACAACAGAAGGGTTTGTTCAAGCTTCAGGTACCATAAGGCTGACTGTTGTAAATGCATGTGCTTACTAAATTGCCCTTCGCTGGAATTTTAGAGGCAAAGGATAGAACAGAATGAGGGGATGAACACATTTCCAAGAGAAAACAAAAGACAGAAAACAAAAAAACCCAAACGTCCTGATTGCTGTGAAATCTGCATCAATTTAAAAGGATTTCCTTCTAAGGGAGATCACATGAGTGTGAGCTCTTTGAGAGCAGGTAGTCTGAAGAAAGTCTCCAGAACCATGTGCCAGAGCAACCACTGTGATACTGGATGTGTCTTCATGAGGAAAGAGTGAGAACAAGAGCATACAGTCTGCTCTGCAGATGGGTTGTGGGTTTAGTTCCTGAGTTGTGACTTTAGTTCACTAAAAATTATTGCATCTTATTCCTTTAATGTCTACCTCCTGATGCAGACAGAAGCAGTGATGTTTATGCTGTGACACCAAACAGTGCCCTTTCTCCTCCACTCTTACCCTTCCTCACCAAAACACTGAAAGTTCAGGGAAATCCAGTCCTAGAGTTTTTTTTTTGTTTGAAGTTTCCCTGCATCACCCATTATATTTAGCTCTAAATTCTAGCCTGCCTATGACAACTAATATTGCCAAAGCTTTTGGTTATTCAGTTTTGAGAAGAAAATTGTTGAATCGTTGGGCCTGTCTGTGGTGAATGAGATATAATCAGATGTCTGGGATGGCGAGAAATATCAGTTAGACGTATGCATAAACTGTGTTTACAGGTGCAATATCAGAGTTGTTGGTCTATCATCTTGCTTTCAGGCAAAACACAAGGCAGTTTCTACTTTTTATTAGCTTCTCCATTACCTGCTCTCAGTAAACAGATTGTTGGCTTTTTTGGATAGACATTTGTGCATATCTTCACCTTCCACTCAATGTAGTTACCCAGCCTGATTTTTGGAGTATGCTGCACCTAATAAATGTGCAGCTGCCATAGCTACTGTAACTATACAAATAAAAAGAAAAGCTCCTCAGCTTTTAAGGAGCTGTAGGAGGCAGGTAATAAACCAAAGCTTTGCTCCTTGCACACAAAGCAGGTGAAAATAAAAACACCAGGCTTCCCTGCAGGCTTTGTTCTTATGAGCAGGTACTTCAAGAACTGCAACATAGCTGCTGCTTCTGGGAGCAGTCAGAGAGTAAGAAAGAGCAAGGCAAAATGCTACTGCTCTTGAGAGAGCCCTCTCTAATAAATCCAGCTATAATTAAGCTGGTGATAACGGGATCTTAAAATAACAGTGCATTCATTTTTGGAAATATTTATTTTCCTACTTGCCTTCTTCCATTTTCAGGCTCTTCTCCCTTGTTCTTTTCTCTCTGCTGGTTCAAGAAAACCACCTCCAATACATCCACCAGTGTGAGGCTGTTCACCAAAGATTTTGCAACTTTCCTGAGCACTTAGCTTTACTTGTATTGATGCACTGTCATGTATGCATCCTAATTCTCCACTCCAATGTTTTTAAAGAACCCCTTATATAATAGAACTCCTGGAAATTCACTTCTTTTTAACATGCTGGGTAAATTATATTCTCACATGTAGCAGCTTATTCTTTTTCTGTCTGCTCCTAGTAAGAGATCTGATTTCTGCTCACTGAATTCTCTGGCAAGTTGTCAGTTGGCTATAATGAAGGTAAAATTGGGTCCAAGAGTGTTAAATCAGATCTTCTCCAGCACAGAAAAGCATACCCAGTCTTTCAGCCATATCACTCTATTTGCAAACACCAGGAAGTCTTTTTTTTTTTTTCTTTCCTTCTCTCTGAGCTGTGAAACATGATATGAAATGGCTGCTAACAACTGTTTGAATTCTAGTAGATGGGGGCTAAAATTCAGCCAGCAGCTTGCTGCAAACCCAATATGTTCTGGTCGACACATAGACCAAGAACTGCAGCCTCTGTATCTGAATAGCAAAAACATTTGTGTGATCACCAAGAAAGTTAGTGTTACTGGTTTGTTGGAAGAGATTTTCTTTCTTTGTTTTGTGATTCAGAGCTTACTGCCCCTTACTTTGCTTGTCTCTGAAATTCCAAGTGCTAGTCACTCTTTAAAGTAATATAATTTTAAGTTGCTATAAAATTATGCTGAAGCTACAGCTGCATTTTCATTCACACTTGTAGTGTTCACCTAGTATATTTTAAAGTGTTTGGGGCTTTGGCCCAAGTTTTACTATAAACCATAATAAATAGTTGCCTGACTTACGTGGGTATCTTCCTTCAGCGATCTGTTTCTTGCTCTCAGATTGGCCTTTGCAGCTGACATACTTGCTTCTTTTCCTGCCAGCATTTTATATTTTCCAGCTGAAGCAAGTCATATCTTGGTTCAGCAGTCTACCAGCGTTGTGACTCCTCAACACTATTTCCAGTCAAGTATTTTCAAGTTTCTTTGACCTCTGCCTTCCCAGCTCACCTGCTTTAAGAAAGCGTGCTTATTGTCTAGCTTACAGAGTACTCTAGCATTAGAAATTCCTAACTTGTGTTTTTAAAATGGCAAGTAAGAGTATGACAGCATACTCATACAAAGCCAACAACTGGCTTTGACTCACTGCTTGCTTTGCCCAGCTTGCTTATCTATTGACTTCAGTAAGGCTGCTAGTATTCACTAGCCTCAGCAAGAAAGTACATGCAGCTCCATCTTAAAGAGGTACTTCTTTTCATAATCCTTGCTGGCTGCAGTTCACCTCTGCTCTCCCCACACCCCTCACGATTTCCTGTTTTCTGTAGCCTCCCTCCTATTTGCGCCCTGCATAAGGCATAACTGGAGAGGAGAGAAATCGAGAAGAGATTACCAGTTCTGATAAAGCCAGAGGACTACTATCCACTCCTACTTTTTCAAGTTAGGTCACAGGAGGCTGCAATGAGGAAATTAAAAAATATTGAAAGAGACTGTTTCCCTTGGCAGGATGTTGAAGGGACCAGGAGTACAGATATTGTTCTTCTTGATCCTCCCAGCTGGTGACTGGGACCTGGGTAGAGGGAGAGAACAGATCAGTTGAAGGAATAGCTGTGTGACTGGTGTCACACTTGGGGTTTTGGCTGCGATGATCCTGGATGCACTTTTGATAAGCCAGGCATGTTAGTGTTGGATGGGCTGCAAATGACCTGGATGGGCAGGAATGTTCTGGCAGCAAGTTGGCTGGACTGATTAGCAGAGATTTAAACTAGATTCAGTGGGGGAGAGGGATGTAATTCTGAGTGATGGAGAAGAGCTAAGGAACACCATCACTTTGGGAAGCAGCAGGGGGAAACCTCAGATTTGTCTCAGAGGAATTTGGGAGCACTCCTCTTAGAAGGTGTCACAGCTCATAATCCAGCTGAAGTGCCTCTACACCAGTGCATGCAGCATGGAAGATAAGCAGGAGGAGATGGAAACCATGGTGTAATTAGAAAACTATGACCTAATTGCTATCACAGAAACATGGCAGGATGAATCACACAACTGGAATATTATGACTGAGGTTTACAAACTTTTTAGAAGGGATGGGCAGGGCAGCAGAGGCGGGGTGTTGCCCTCTATGTTAAGAAGTGTTTACATTGTGAAGAGCTGCCTTTAAAAAAAAAAAAGCCATGAACAGGTTGAGAGTTCGTGGATTAAAATTAAGAACCAGACCAATAAAGGACACCTAGTGGTCAGGGTCTGCTATAGGCCACCTGATCAAGGGGAGCCTGTAGATGGCGCTCTGGGCTGCAGCAACTACGCTCGGACTGAGTTTGTGATCTCGAGAAATAAGGATCTGTCGAGGAGCAGTCGGGATCCTGAATTTCAGGAAAGTGAACTTACAGACGTTTAAGGAATTCTGGATGAGATCCCCTGGGAAACTCTCCTTAAGGACATAGGAATGGAACAGAACTGGTAGCTCTTCCAGTCTGAGAGCACAAGAGCTCTCTGTCCCCAGACAAGAAATCAAGCAGAGAAGGCAGGAAATCAACAGGAACAAGGACCTTCTGGTTAAACCAAGGGAGAAGAAGGAAATGTACAGGCAGTGGAAGCAGGAATGGTGAATGGTTGGCCTGGGAAGAATACAGGGATGCTGTCCAGCTTTGCAGAGATGAGATCAGGAAAGACAAGGTGCACATGCAATTGAACTTGAAAAGAGATGTGAAAATAGCCAGAGGGGGTTCTACAAGTACATTGGTCAGCAGAGACAGGCAAATAAGAGTATATCCCTTCTCATAAATGAGAAAGAAGAACTGGCTTCAACAAACATGGAGAGGGTTGAAGTACCCAGTAAATTCTTTACCTCAATCTTCACTGGCAGTCAGTTCATGAACCTCTAGGCAGGATTTTGGGGCAGAAAATCCTTCCCACTGTAAGAAAAGAGCAACTCTGAGACCTTCTAAGGATGAACATGTACAAGTCTATGGATCTGGATGACATGTAACCCAGGGTCCTGAAGGAACTGGTTGATGTGGTTGCCAAGCTACTCTCCATCATATTTGAAAGGTCATGACTGACAGACGAAGTCCCCAGTGACTGAAAAAAGGGAAACATTGCTCCTATTTTTAAGAAAGGGAGAAAGGAAGACCTGGGGAGCTAACGGCTTGGAAGACTCATCCATATATCTGAGAAGATCGTGGAACAGGTCCTCCTGGAAGCTATATGAAGATACATACAAGATGAGAAGATAGTCCATGACAGCCAGCCTGACTTCGGCAAGGGCAAATCTTTTCTGACTAATCTGGTGCTCTTCTATGATGGAGTGATGGTGTTGGTGGACAAAGGATGGGCAACTGACGTCAGCTACTTAGACTTGTGAAAGGCATTTGGCACAGGTCCACACCACATCCTTATCTCTACATGATATGGATTTGAAGGCTGGACTGTTTGGTGGATAAAGAATTGGTTGGATGATCACAAGCAGAGGGTTGTGGTCAGTGGCTCTCTGTATTCTTTAAAAAGGCCATGTAGGATGCCAATCTGTTTTGCTGTCACTTGGTTGCTTTTAATTAATCTATGTCTCTTTTAAATTTGGGAATATCAAGTGGAGTGAAATAGTTCGCGTAACGTCTTTGGATAATAATACTTTGAAGAGCAACAGAAAGCAACCTAGGAGGAAAACGCTTCCTACAGGACTTGCATGTTCTGGAGTGATGGTGTTTGCATAGTGCAGCCCTGAACCATTTAGAGATTCTGCTAATATATGTATCCACTGCCTGACCAATACACTGACTGAAAAACAGTATTATCACAGCTGACTTTGGTCAGAATCTGAGTAGTGAAAGAAGAACGAGAGTGAGGTGGTGGGTAGGAATCACAGCTCTAGCATGCAGCAAATGGTTAGTGTTGGCAACCGCGCTCCAACTCTGAGATAGGAAAAAGTCTTACAGCTCCTCATAGGCCATGCTTTAGTTGTGAAACCATCTGATGGCAAAATTACAGTAGGAAGTACCATTGGGGGATTTACATCAGATAACAAATGTGCCTTTGTAAGGAAATACCACAGAACCAGTCATGCAAGAGCAAGAGGGAAATGGAACGGGTGTCTGCAAAGGCAGGGAGGGCCCAGCACGAGTCAGAAGGCAAAAGAAAAGCGTCTTCTTTGCACCAGAGAGTGAGGCACAATCTCCATCCTTGTGCTCTTTAAAAACAAGGACAGTTTTCGCCGTGTACAAGAGCAGAATTGGCTATTTCAAAACATGGAGCAAAGCACAGACTAGACCCGTTTTCCACCATGTGCTACGGCTCAGCTGGCATAGCAGCAATGTACAAAGAAAACATATTTTTTTCCTTCAATAAAAAGCATAATTCTGCTATGCTTCCATTTTAAACTAATTGTACATTGGAGTACAAAGCAGATAATTTTGAAGACAGATTTTTCATTCCCAGGCTGGAGATGATTCCATTTTCCAGCTGCTGGAAAACATCGTTAGCTGATCCTGTAATGGAGTCTCATGTAAGAACTGCCTCATTACCATCAAGTGTTGCCAGCTCTTAGTTTTGCGTTCTGCTTCATAAATTCCAAAAAGCAGCTCAGTGTGTTTAGGAACTATTTCCCTGTTTTAAAAGGAACCAGAATCTATTCCAGGACCCAAGCCAGTTCCCTTACAGTTTAAATGAAGACAGATTGCCATGAGCTTATTTCAAAAAATGAAGAAGTTTTTGCAAAACAATTTCTTGTTCTTTTCTCTCTCTCTCTCTCTCTCTTTTTTTTTTTTTAAGAAACAAAAAATTGTGCTTTTTGTGTCTTTGAAGAGCAGGGAATAAGCCCAGCAAAACTGGACCATTATATGTGCCTGTTAGTCAAGTATTAACATCACATTTTTTTTTCCCTAGGCAGAAAGCAGTAAGGAGTCAGAAGCCATTCTTCCTGATTCTACATACCAGCAGGGTTCAACTCACTCCAAATCAAAGTGGAGTTGCTGAGGAGGGACTAATTATGAGGTCTGTAGGATTTCTCCCTTCAGTTGTTAATTTGATCCTAATCTAAGACAGTGTTAATCAGTTTATGTCAGCTCTGTGTCACCTGACTTTTGTAAAACAAGAGAAATCTCTTCTAAATCATGATTGCTACTTGGTATGTTTATTTTTTCACTTTTGTAGGCAGCCTGTAATACTGAATAAGAAAAGGAGGCAATTGTCTTCTCTTACCTAGAAAGACAGAGCAATACAACAGATTTGTACTGTTATTCACATTGCATATGTCCCTAAGAAATACTAGAATGGAATTTTCTCGGGGCTGCAAGAGTACTTCACAAAATAAGCTCACCAAGGAGAAGATCAATCACCAACTGTGCACCTTCCAAATATCTGGGCAATTTGCCTGGGCAACACAGGATCCTTGGTCTTAGCAGACAATTACATGCGTGTTGAATTTCACCTACAGTTTTTTGCTTTTTTTTGAAAGGAAAAGGAAAGTAGAAAAAAAAACAAACACATATTTTGCAGTTGGCTGTTTATCATTTTCTATGAAAAACTGGCAGCTTCCATCATGTCTGGCCAGATGTAAATGGATGAAAGGGTCAACTAGAAAATGGCCATAGATGTGATAATATATGTACATAAATTAAAACAAGGAGAGCTTCCATTAATTTACTCCCATGATTTTGACTTTGAGAAAGGAAGCAGAATCAGAGGGCAGTATCCCAAGGCAAACAACCAACATTGGAACAGTTCAAAGATGCAAGAGGATGTGTGTTTATTCTGTTCAAGGGGAAATATGCAGCTGTAATCCTAATTAAAAAAAAAAGAAAAAAGTTTTCCTAGGGTGGTTTTCTTTCAAAACAAACCATAGTATCAAGAATCGCTTCTAGTTGTAGTCCTCATATTTTGTTATTAGTGTGTTTGTTATGTAGGCTCCCTCCTATACTGTTCCTGGAGAATTGCAAAGCAATCAGAGCAATGTGCCGGCCTGGGAAGCCATGGCAGGGCCTGGACTACAGGTTTCCTATGGGTTTTGCATGCTTACTGGACAGAGGTGTATGGAGAGGGTAGGTGCCAGGTGTGACATTACAATGCTGGGACAAGCCTCTAGTCAAGATGCACTTAAACCCACAAACCACTGAATTCTCCACAGGGAGTTATTTTATTTTCTGAACCCAAAATGCAATTTAGCTTGTTGTGTCCTGACTAGAAATAGTATACATGCAGCATGCTGAACTTCCAAATGTAGGTATGTAAAAAATGTATCTGTTGGACCCTATTTGCCCATCTCTTCCTGTTCCCCTGAGTTAAAACACTGGGCTTTGGTCACTTTTTCCTCAGAAAATATGTTAACAATCGTCATTTTTCATTGTGAGAAGGGCTAAAAAATTTATCACCTCAACATCCTCACCTTATATTGCACCATTGTACTTTACAGAACGGAGTCTGCAGAAGGAAAAATTTTAGCTGCCTGAAGTCCTATTTATACTGCCAGTTCTCATTTCACAAATCTGTTTTTAAATCAGAGATTTAAATTAATCACTCTCAAACTAATCAGTGAATCAGTTCCAAATCTGGCAGCCAGTCCATGTTGATACAGGATTTTCTGCATGTATGTATTCCCAAATTTTGTTTGCACAGTATTTTATTGCAAATACAAAAAGTAAATGGATTTGTCAATTATGAATGAAATCAAATGAAGATGAATGAAATCAAATCAGACTGGGGGAGAAAAATGATGTGTACTCCCAGCAACCTGTCAGTAGGGCCTGAACTAGCAGGGAATTGACATCCAGTACTTATGTGCTAGATCTTCTTATAAATAATAAATCACTTTTTCTTTCTGCAAGCAACACGCACTTTGTTCACCGTTTGAAATTCTTTACATTATTAACAGCTTGTTAGGAATTTTAGAAGCTGAGATAAAGAAAATACTCGGGAGATCCTACATAGTTTATATTCAGATTTCATACTTGTCTTTTGTACACCTGCCTTCCTACTTTACAAGATATTTTTCATAATTTTGTAAGAGGGAGGAAAGTCTGGGAACTTCTCTGTGGCATTTGGATGCTGTAACTATTCTGAAACACAATTTGAGTAACACACACCATTTTTGTAAGTCATTACATCGTACACATTGAGTGTGGCCAAGTTTTCAGTATTGTTTTTGGATTAGTTTCTTTTGCCTGTCAAAACTAGCAAGGGCAGGTTATGTATATATAAAAACAAGTTTAGGAATTTGTGATTGCAGCATCTTCTAGTTGAGAGGCCGTGTGCAGGGAGACTCTTGCTTCTTCATAGAAGAAGACATTGATGTTTGTGGAGGGAGTGGTGAGAAGGGCAGCAGGACACTGACAATGCAGTGAAAGGAAGATGGTACAGACAAGTGGGGAAGCTGTGTAATATTTGAATCTTTAGGACTCTTTTCCAGAGATAAGACCTGTGTGTGCTTTGCAGGGAGTTTAGGTCTGGTGTGGAAATGGAGAGGAAAGAAGGCTGGAATTTGTGTTTTTACTCAAGTGCTGTTTTCTGTTCAGTTCATTACACTTTTACAGCTTCTGGAACTGACGTGCCAAGGTGTATATTTCTTCTTGGGAGCAATCCAGCAGAACACAGGTCCTAAAAGAAGCTGTGAAGAAACAAGGGAATATAACAAACAGCTTAACAAACACAGCTGGTTCCTCAGTGATTGGAGAGTGGAGTAGAGAATAACTCTCTCATCCACTGCAGAAAGTATCACACAGAAATCTGTCTTTATAGCACAAGCTTGGTTCTATCCTCAACTTAATTTAAAAACTTCTTGCTATGATTTAGCCAGCAAGCTGAGGCCATTATCTGAGTAAGGAAGTGGTCCTGTAAGAGCTGCACTGAGCAATTGAGAAATGGGCCTACATGTTTGCTCCAAAAGACAGGAGGAAGGAAGGAAATTCCTGCGGAGGAAGGAAATTCCATATTGTCATTGGAAGAGTTTAGTCAGTGAGAAAAGGAACATGTAAAACATACCATAACAGGGGAAAACTCTGAGGTTCATGAAGCACAAAACAAAACCTAGGTGCTGTACCTCTTCCTTCCATTCCTTCACATTATCTGAAATAAACCAAACTGGAAATGTCACTAGTAATGATTTTTCTGCAAGAAAGCCTTACTACTAAGATCCCTTTTGTGAAATGTTGTCCTGGGCCAGTTGAGTACATCCAAGTCAAGAGTGAGCAGCACAGTGCTCTGATTTGAGAACGGGCAAGTGGGGAATAAAGGGGATTGCTGCAGCAGGTACAAAACTCAGCAGAAAAGGAATTGTGTTCAGGCACAGACCTTGCAAAGAGGACCATCCTGTTCTTGCACACCCCAGAAATCTCTACAGGAACAGCCAGGCTTTGCTTAGGTCTTGAAAGGTTTCAGCATAGGTTGCTGAAAGAAAGGATACTAATGAACTGTTCATTAGTTCTTTTCTAGAAGTAATTTATTCTTCTTTCTTTCTTCCAGTAGACATCTCTTCCTCTGTTTATGTGGCACAAAGATAACCTGCAGGGATAAATGGAAATTGAGTTTGTGCCCTTATTCCCAGAGTAATTTGAATTGATGTTATACTGCTGGTTAAAAAAAAAAAAGCTAGCCTACTTTCTGTGCATTTTTAATAATGACTTAGCCACTTCTTGTTTATTTTGGACTTTTTAATTATTTTTAAATTATTTTCTTATTTTCTATACCTTAATTCTCACATCCTTCTTATACAGAGATAATCACTTCACATAAATGAGACAGAAATTTCTTCCAATAGTGATTTGTAGCAGTGATTAAAAATTGAAAAGACAGATAGTCTGGTACATTAAGGAATTAATAATATCTGCAAGGCATCTCCTTCAGTGCTTTAACCTGTACTCTTCAATGCATGAGCTTTGTTTTTCTTATTGAAAGTCCTGCAGGAATGCCACATCTGCTCATCTGTGTGGGTAAAGCTCAGCAAATCTCAACATTAATTCAGTAGAATGCTCTGAACTGGTAGACAGCCAAGGCAATTAAACAGCTATCCTGATAAGGAGAGGCAAAGAAGTTTCTGAAAAGAATCACTGTGGCATAAAGTACCAACAAAGAAAGAAATATGGCAGTAAGGAGATTACTCACAGCATTTCATTTTTCTTTGGCATTTATTTCCTTATTAATGCTGGAATCTCTGTACATGATGGAAGTGAAGTTTGGCATTTCATGCTGATTTAAAAGCTTGCTAATACTAATCTCCCTGTGTCACTGAATGAATGCATCTCTGCTAAGTAGTCTCACTATCATTAAGTATAATTGCGCTAAATTAGCATCCAGGGAGATGCCCTGGTTAAAAAAAATCCGGGTTGAAAGGTTTGTACTGTAGCAGTAGTTGTTTGAATTGACACATGGTTTGGATTTTATGACATTGCTCTGAATAGTTACTTTGATTTTAGGTAAGACATTTTCCAAGAGTAAGAAGGTTACACACTGACTGCATCAGACTGAAAAATACCAGTGTATTTGAAAAATATCAATGCATTGCACAAGGTCAGTTTGCCATACAAATTCTTCAAACGATCCTCTGAAGAATATATGTTGGAAGAAGTTCTTTTCTTTTTGGGGCTGTTGCACTGAGCTTCTAATTATCGCACAGTGTAAGGCTAATGTGATAATTCTGTAGGCTAGACATTTCTCATGTAGAATAAGGAATAATTTAAAATGGTCATTAGAAGCTGCATGATCTTGAAAATAGAAATTCTTTTCATTTTGTCCATAACTTAGGTAATTGTGCTACAGTCTTCCTTACAATGTAGTGCTAATTTCTGGAGTTACTACTTAAGGTAACAAGGAGGCATCTGCACCATATTGTGTTCTTGGTTACCTTTACACAGAAATATGCCAAAGAACAATTTCAGATAACAAAATAATCTGATGCTTGAGAGAATCTTCTCTATAATTAATCAGCATTGAGGACATTAGCATGTTTGCTTAAGAAGGAATTTTTTTTTTATTACTGAGGTTCACAAACGAAGGTTAGACAGCATGAAGGTCAGCCTTTAGTTCAACATGACAAGCCTTGTTTCAGAGGATTATTTAAAAAAATATTTTTTATATTCAGTAATTTGCCTCCTAACCATATTTAATTACTAGCTGTTTTATTATCTTTCATCTCATGTCCAGCAAGCTAAACTGATAGAAAATTACCGTGCTTTTTGATATAAAAGGAAGAGAGAATGTCCTTAGCTCCCTGCAGAGAATCACTGCATGTGTAACGTTTGCTTACCAGTTTTAGATTCCACTAGCACTGAAGCGCTTTTAAGTATTATTAATTCATATTCATGTGCACACAACAAGCAAATGTATTTTGAAACCATGCTGATATAATCTGTCTTTCACAGACTGCTCCAGTCAAAGCACCAGGACTGTGTTGGACAGGAAGGAAAAATGAATTCCAGGATGAGGAATCTCCACTGACCTTGTCCCATCCCAGGCTCTACACAAGAACGTCACTGCTGATTTTGACAAGTCAGTAAAAAAAGGTGACGGACGCTGTCGGGTAATCAGACAGGATTGGCTGTATTCTCTGGAGTGTAAGGGATTTGGTTTCGTAGCACAAAATTGGTTCTAGAGATGACCGTTTCTGCTGCTTTTGCTACCTTGTTAAAGATTTCCCAAGGAACAGTACTACCGTGGAGCAAATTGCTTTTTTGCTGACAGTGCCTACCGCCTACATACCACACCTTAGTTTGCACTTCACGGCAGCGCCTAACTGCAGCACACGTATCCTTATGTGAGCCTGGCATACCAGATGGACATGTTGGCTCACTCGTAAGAGTTGAAGGAAGATTTTGTAATATTTTTCTTCACGTTTTCATGTGCCAATAACAGGAGCATGTGATCCCTAATTCCTGAGGTGCAGCGTTACTCCTCCTCCCACACCAAGCCTTTTCTGAACAGGTTTAGCCAGCTGTGCAGCTGTAAAGTCATTTTTCTCTGTTATCTACAGAAAGATACCAGAATAACACTGCAAAAATTCCTTTCAGTTCCTTGTGGATAAATAAAGATCCGATCCAAAAGTTGCAAATGTGAAAGGATCGTATCATAGTATCTCATAATGCCATAGCATAAACAAATGCTAGTCCCTGAGTGATTTAGCTTTCTAGTACCACAATTTTTCCGTTGACTTTCAGAACAGGGTTGAGTGAGGTCATTGATACTGTCTTAAGGACCATTGATTTTCAATGTTTCATTCTTTAATGTTTAGATTTTAATTATTCTTTGTTAATTCCTCTCTACAAATTAAAGTTCTGCAGAGAAGAGTGAGTGTGTGAAACATACATGGTTTTTATATTCTTTTATTTCATTTTCTTATGAATCTAAATGAGTGAATCACAGGAGCCACACTCTGACCAACAGATTACTTGTCAGCAGAGCACTAGCTTGCTTTGAGCATTGCTTGTGGAAGATGCAGAATGTCCATCAGTGGAACCCTTTGTGATCAGAGCAAATATGACCAACATAAAGTTTAGGTCAGAACAATAGGCCATACCATTGCTTCTCAGACTTTTTTTATTGGAAGAAAAAGCCAAACTTTAAGAAGAGAAAAATATATCAGATTTTGCCATACCTTCTTCTCATATATGGAGACATCCTGTTTATATTCACTGACCATTATTTTTATTCACTTCTTTACTTATATTTGGCTCCATGTTCTGCTAATAGTTTTTTTTTTGTTTGTTTGTTTTTAATTGTTCAGCACATGTGTCATCTAAGATGTGATGAGCAAGTGGTAAAAAAAAGCTTAAGAAGCACTGAAATGGGTAAGTTCTACAGAGCCTTTCTATCCATTTACTTTTTGGCTGATATGTATGTGTTTGCAAATAGATGTTACCAGGAGTCCTACTTGCACCATTTACTGCTGACTAGTAAGAGTGGGAATATGAGACCTTCTTCTGTGTTCCTCTGCTCCTTTGGCATGCAGTATAATAAGCTACCAGGACAAACACAAATGTTCATTGCTGCAGTCTGCAGCCCATTCATCCACATATTGTTCTTTCTGTGACTTTTCCTGTAGTTGTTATTTGTAGCGATTGTAAAAGCAGCAAATTTTGAGGCAAGGGAATTGTCTGTACGTTCTCACTTACTTTTACCTGTTTTATTTCTGATGAAAGGACCTGACTGACAGAATGACACATAATCTGTTTAAAGAGCGGACTGGATGGGTTCTGCTTTGCAGCTAATACTTCGTGAGGTTTTTGTGAGCTCTGAGTCAATATGAATGTCAGCGTGGGGAATATATTTAATCTTTCTGCGTAGTTGTTTGTATCAGCCTTCTCCTCAGGCATTTATAAGCAGCTGATAAAGCTCTCAGTGGAACTTGCTGTGATGCATACTAAAACTGATTTGCTCAACCTGTCGCTTGTGTTATCTAGTAGAAGTTTAAGGCTTTAAGCTAGTCAGAAAATTTAGAATTCAAATTGTCCTTTGGCTGAAAAGGAGGTGATTGTTCCCCTCTATTCTGCCCTTGTGGGGCCCCACGTGGAGTACTGCATCTAAGTCTGGGGCCCCCAACTCAGGAAAGATGTTGAGCTTTTGCAGAGGGCCCAGAGGAGGACCACAGAGATGATCGGAGGGCTGGAGCACCTCTCCTGTGAAGACAGGCTGAAGGAACTGGGCTTGTTCAGCCTGGAAAAGAGAAGGCAGTGGGGAGACACCATAGAGGCCCTCCAATATTTAAGAACAGCTTATAAAGATGAGGAAAACAACTTTTTATATGTGGAAATATTGATGGGACAAGGGGGAATGGTTTTAAATGAAAGGAGGGGAGATTTAAATTAGATGTCAAGAGGAAGGTTTTTACTGAGAGAGTGGTGAGATGCTGAAACAGGCTGCCCAGAGAGGCTGTGAATGTTCCATCCCTGGAGGCTGTCAAGGCCAAATTGGATGGGGCCATGGGCCATCTCACTGAGTACTCGATCTGTGGCTGGCAACCATGCCTGTGGCAGGGATGTTGGAACTTGGTGATCCTTGAGGTCCCTTCCAACACAAGCCCCTCTATTGTTCTATGGTTCTACAATTCTATGATTCTATGAAAGAGTATGTGAGCATTACCAGTTTTTGTTCACTACAGCCATTTTAGAACTAAGGACAGCAACACTTCAGTTTTGAGCACTGCTTCTTGACTGGAAAAAAGACTAGAATTATAAGTGATGATTTTATGAGTGTTTTGTGACCTTGACAGTGGTAATACAGTTGTAACACAGTGGTAACAGTGTCTTTTTTGCACATGTGGCCCCATTAATAAATGGCATTTTATAGTATCCCAGTGTGAACCCTGGCATGACCTCATTGAAGGTACTTTGGATTCGTATCACTGGAAATTGTCCTCTGATATCCCTTGTTTCAACTTTCATGATATTTTTGAGATTCAGTACTGTGGTTATACAATGGTGCTGTAATGTCAGCTGTAGAAGCAGAAAAGGTGCAGCATATGCAGTGCTTTTGTGGAATGCCTATTTTGCCTTCTGGTGTTCCTTCAGATCCATCATAGATGAATCTAAGAATGGAGGCAAGACTTTGTTTTTGGTCTTTTTTGTGGAAACTGCATACAGTAAAACTTATTCATATAAATGTACTTCGTCTGTGTTACCTCTGCATATACATTCATCACCAGACTAAATACATGACATAATTTTACATTGAGAGCAAGTAGCCAAAAGATGGAATTAAGCACATCCTATAATTTAATACCAGGTATTTTGAATAATTTATTTTAAATGTTTGATAATGGATGCAACTTACAACTATTTATTAGAGCATTAGAACACTGCAGTTTTGGATTAATGCAACCATTTTGTGATTACAGTGTGGTTATTTACCAGTGTGCACTGCTTCGTAGTGGCTGTAACAGACTGACTGGGTACTGGGTCTTAAAGAACGCCTCACCCTTAGCTGAGATTTGGTCTGTGTTTCCAGCTGCCTTGTCTTGTGAGAACTCCTTGCAAATGCATCAGGTAAATTACACATGAATACTCTACCTGGCACACAGACATGGATATTAAGGGCTGTTTTCCTTTTCACCAGAAGTACTTATTTCTATCTCAGCAACCTTGTCCTCTCTCAAACAGTGCATTATTTAATTTCCATTAACAGGCACTCTGCGTGCCCATTTAATCAACAGAATGAAATAACAGTACTTTTGACTCAAATTATGATACAGTATAAAAATAAATACAGATGTTTCTGATATTCAGGCTCCCTTCAGGTGGACAATTGAGAGTTTAGGCAAATGTTGTTTTCTTGCACTGTTAATAATTTTCTACTACGAGTATCGTAATACATCTATTTACTGAACCAAATTGTATTGACAGCAGGGAGCACAGTGCACTTTTTGTAATGTCAATCTGAAGATTGTTATTTAAAGCAGAATCAAAGGCTTATGAAGAAGATATGGACTTAGCTCCCATGAGGTGATAAGGGAAATTGCATTGAGACAACAGAGCAGAAGGTTAGCTTACTGCACTCTGCAGTGGAGAGATATGAGAAGCAAAAAGGAACATTAGTAAATCACAGGGTAATGTCATCATGTTATTTCATGGGATGCCCTGGAAAAATGAACAGAAGGAGAGCAGTGTTATGTCTTACACATGCACTGTAAGCATCCATGGTACGATACAGTGATCCAGCTGCTGAAGATAGGCTCTAAACAGAAAAAACATGGGAAGGTGAGATGCCTTTTTAACTATGGTTAGGACAGCATTAACTCCATGAGAAACCTGCTTAATAAGAGAAAACAAGAGAATGTGGAGGCATGAGGAGAATGGAAATTTCCTCATTCATAACTATTTCAAAGCCAGTAGAGCACCACTGGCATGAGCTGATGGCTATTGGGGAAAAGAGTGACTTCACTTCCAAGACAGTGGGGACTGCATTACCTTGAAGTTTCTTGGAGAAACTAAAGGATGGGCTGGAAGAATGCTGCAAGCTAAGCCTTAAACTGGGTCCTACAGCACATCCGCCCAGCTAGCTTTGGCAGCAAGCTCACCAGAAAGCTGAGTTTGAAAACTACTCTGTCAATCTAATGCATTCTGTCCAAAGAAAAAATATTCAAGGATGGGGCAAGTTTTCCTGCTCTTCAAAAGGTAATGTGACAGAGGTATAAGGGCACAGTATTGTAATCCCACATGAGAACATTCCCATTGCAGAAAAACGGGAAAATGTGCCTGCATTTTGGTACCAGCACTAAATGATACTCTCTTGATATAGTTATCTGTCCAGTACTGCAGCATTACTTCTCAAATTTTCTGTGTAGTGCATAGAGTGACTGAGCATTTCCCAGTTATATGCTGCACTAAGTAACCCAAGTGCATTATCAATAAGATAATTTCATTCCAACCATACCTTAAATATTTTCTGACTGACAAATTGTGTTCCTTTATCATGAGAGCATAATTATGTTTGGAAAGAGTATTTGTGCATAATCATTTTGTCATATTTATCATAATGAGTAGAAAGCTAACAGAATAACTTTCCCATAGAAACAGAAGATTGCAATAGGAGTGCTGAGTCTTTTTGTGGTGATAAATGGTGCTGACTCTATGACTGCCCTTGTTTAGTCCCTGGTGGTATATCTTCGCAATAACGTTTCTACTTACATTATGCCCTTTACTTTTGCTTTTATCTGCTCAGCATTTTGGCTGCCAGATTTTACGAAAACAAAGAGAACTGTATCATTTCTTTCCAAGAATCCTTTTATTTTATCTCTGAGTCTGAAATGTGATATTTGCATGTGTGGTAGTAGCAAAGTGTTCAAATCAACTGATACTCTATAGCAGTACCAGATCAAGGCCTGTTCTCAATCTCTCATAAGAATTCAGCAGTCATTTATCTGCACAAATGTACATGTATATTTGCTTTTTCAAGGAACAATTGATTCGTTAAAAAAAAAAAAGAGATATGGAGGAAAGCTAAGTAGTGTAATTCACTGCACATGTTGTGGGTACCAAGTGTGTATAAGGACTTCTAGAGGAATTACATCAATTTATGCAAGGAAAAATCATCTGGGCTGTTACATCTATGGTACCATCTCTGGTGCAAGAAATTATTGATCTGCAGATTGTTGGAAGCTGATGGAAGTTGGGAGACACTGTGCCTGTTCTGCTCAGTCAGTTCCTTGTGATGGCCATGGACATAGAGATGAGAAGACTCGGTGAGTCCTCTTGCCCTGTTCACACAGGATTGGGCTGGGGCCCTTAGGGCCCCAACCAACCTATATTGTAGCTGCAGGACAGCTGTAACCATGCCTGGCTGTGGACCCTGCTAATGGACACGTCTGAAGCCATGCTGGGATAATGAAAAAGTGCACAACAGCAATCAACAGATTGTCCATCAGTATATGCAGAGTTCAGACTAATAGCACTGCATACTTTGCAGTTGGAATCTGTTCATTACATTTGCCTTGTGAGAAAGAAAATCTGTGTCCAGTTTTCTCTTCTTGACTTCCCTCTTTGAGAATTTAGTGGATAAGGTTAAAAGGTATAATGTTAACAACCCTGTTGAGTGACTGTTTCTGTGCACAAAAACGTAATTCAAGTTTCATCAGCCTTTCCTATCAATAAGTTTCAGTGCTGCTGGGAAAGGATTGTTTCTCTGTTACCTTCTGCCTGTGCAAGAATTGAACCACATCAAGGCTCAGAATGAGAAAGTACAAATAGCAAATGAATGAGGCAAACTGAATCCCTCAGTGAAGATCTTGTGCTAATAAAACTTTCAAGCAGTCAATATTGCATCTGCTCCATAACTTGGTTCACTTGTAATTTTTGTTTTAATAAAAAACATAATTCATTTCTTCAATATGCTGCAGTTCTGTTTACACCCTCTATGTAATTACAAAGCTTTTTTCTATTCCACTTGCTAATTTGTTACATTTTTTCTGCCCCCTCATATTTGCACCTGCCTGGGCTTAACCTCAAAATCATTCTTTCTGGATGATGAACTTATTTCAGCTCTTTTCTTTCCTTAAAAAGAAAGTTCCGTTTTTGTATTCTTAAGTCATCATATTTGATTCATTTCTATTTTTACTAATTCTATTCAGATTTTCTGCTGTGCTTATATCCTTCCCCTGTATTTTGGGTCAAAAGTATTATAAATAAATTGTCATTATTTCTCTGTCTGCCAGGATAACTGCTTATAATAGCCTGGTTTCTAATTCCTTAGAGTTGATTAAGGACTTATGCCCTGCAGCATACACTGTTGTGTCCCAGCCCTTACCATTTCTCATGAATGTCCCCATTATATGCCTGTGTGTCCAGTCTTTTTGTGCATCTGATTAGCATTTGACCTCTGAGATGACCTGTGGCAAAAAATTCCACATTTTAATTACTTCCTATTTTATTCAAAAGAAAACTCAAAAAATTACTTCTTTCCTGTCTTTCAGATATCCCGTGACGTGGTTTTTCCCCTGCATGGAGTAAAAGCAAGGAAGGCTCACCCTTTCTTTGCTGTACCCTCTTTTGTACTGTCTTTTATTTCACTCTGTGTCTCTCTTCTGACTACTCTGAACAGTTCACAACTTTTCAAGTAAGAACTTCATACAAAAGCTTTTGTATTCGTGAGCATTGTCTGTCTCATATTTTTTGTGTTTCTGCAGCTCTTTTTTGTAAGATGATGATACATCTGGCTATGGGCACTCCTGGTTAGACACATCCTCAGGTTCTGAAATAAAAAATAAGACTGCAAATACTGCTCTGTCTCATTCTCTAGGCACACTTTTTTGATCATCCATTCATAATGTGTGCAATCTTCTCTGCTTGATGTCTTTAAAGTGGCTGCATATCATCTGCACTAGAGATCCAGGCTATCCAAACTGACAGATAATTCAATCCTAAAATATTTCTTAGGGCATGTAAAAAGCAGAAAGAACAGATTGACATGCAGCTGCTAGGAAGAGTATCCTTTGATATATAAGCAGAGAAAGCCTAAACCAAGAATAATTTTCCAGAATCCATTTTCTGAGTGTCTTTTTACTTTCAAATATCATTCAAGTCAGACATTTGCCAATTTACAACATGAAATTCAGAAGCCTGTTGGCTAAGCTTTTATTCTAAACTCTAAACTATTGTGCTGGTTCTTCCTTTTGCTATATGTAGGTTTCCAACACATTCTTCTTTTTTCTGATCAGTACAGAAACAAACCAGCCTAGGACCTAGGCCTTTAGAAATTGAGCTTTTTATGAAGTAGGGTACATTTTTTTCAGTAGATGCTAAGCAGATGAACTGTTAATTGCACCTGGAATTCCAGGTACCTCAGTACTTCTTGGTCCTTCCTCTCCACAAATCATGTATGTATATGCTTTCAGTTAGATTCTGTATAGCCTGTCACTATTAAGATTCGGACTGACTGCTCTAGGATAAGTCACATAATACCCTTACATAATACCCTATACTTGCATGCTTGCTTCACCAACTTCAAACCTGAGATCTTCACAAAGATAAGGAAAAAAAATAGAATTTTCTAGGAGTACTATCCATAAACCACAGGACAGTTTAGATCTTCTAAAGCAAGAAGAGGGGTCCCCAAGCTGCCCCCTTTAAAGCCCATGTCAAAGTTCCCTTTCTTGCTGCCTTGGCTAACAGGGGTTCCTTTGGGAACGTTTAGAAGGGCTTCAGGGAAGGAAGGAAAAGATTCATTTTAGACTGTGAGAAGACAGGAGAAAAGGTCAATTATTTTTGGTTCAGTTCAAATGCCTGAATTGTCTTGGGAAGGATGAGTATGTTTAAAAAAGAAAAAAAATATTTACATATGTATACAGCTGTAAGGAAATATAGCAGGACATACTGCATAAAAGGTTTAAGTAGGAGAGCTGTGTTATGAGAAGCTAGTTCCATTTGTGAACTAGTGAAGTGTATTTATGCTTTCTTAATTTAAAGGAGAGTGAGTTGCTGGAATCAGACTCAATTTGAGAAAGATCTTCCCTTTTATTTAGTGAAGAAAAGTGGTAATAGGAGGGGAATTTTATATGATAGATATCTAAGCACATGCTGTGTACCACCTATGTATTGACTGCTAGAGAGTAAAGAATGAAATAATCACTGCCTCACTGCCATTTTATGCCAAAAATATGTTTGTTAAGTACTGGCCTTGCTTGAGAACTTTGGGGAAGATTTCTCCCCAGCTTTCCCAGTGAGGTATATATGCACTGTAGAGTACACATTCCTGAGGCACTCTGTCACCAGTAGATTTCTTTCAGTTTGCTCAGCCCTGGAATGTCTCTTTCTGTTGTTCACTTTTGGCTTTGGATTTTGCATATACCATTCCATAGAGTGGAATGTGATTTTTTAGAAACATGATATTAGTATGTGGCTTTCTGCATGTTTGATACCACATTATTAGCATTATGAGCTCTGCAGAGAAGGACCTCGGTTTTCAGGTTGGCCAACGGAGCGTGCCTCCATGGCCCTGAAGGCCAGTGGCATCCTAGGGTGCATTAAAAAGTGCATGGCTGTCAGGTCAAGGAACCTGATCACTCCACTCTCCTCTACATGTGTCCACAACTGGAATATGACGTCCAGTTCTGGGCTCTTCAGTTCAAGAAAGACAGGGAACTTCTAGAGAGAGTCCAGTGGAGAGCCTCAGAGTCGATGATGAGGGTCCTGGAGCATCTTCCTTGTAAGGAAGGGCTGGGAGACGGGCTGTTCATTGTGGAGAGGGCTGAGGGGGGATCTTATCAATGCTTATGAATATCTGATGGATGGGAGTCAGTGGATGGGGCTAGGTTCTTTTCAGTGGTGTGCAGCAACAGGACAAGGGGCAACAGGCAGAAACTGGTATCAAGAAGCTCCATATGAGCATGAGGAAAAATTCTTTGTGTGTGGCAGAGCCGTCCAACAGGCTGCCCAGAAATGTTGTGGACTCTCCTTCCCTGGTGAATTTGAAAACTCTCCTGGACTCTGCCCTGTATGATCTACTGTGGGGAACGTGCTTTAGCAGGAGGTTGCACTACCTGATCCTTAGAAGTCCCCTCCAACCCCTATGATTCTCCAGTTCTGTGATGAGTCTCTTGTCCCCAAATACATCTACAGGTGTAATCCTTGTTGCCCAGTATGTTGCTGTTGTGAAGCTTATACTTTCACTAAGATTGTGTTTTCTAGACAATTTGACCTTATAAGTCTCTATATCTTAAATAAATCAGGTCATTACAGATCAGGACTGTATCGTATTTGTATGAGTTCCCCACTGGAGGCAAATTTACTCTGAAAAAGACTTTGCATTGGACTCTTGTGAGTGAGAGATGGAAAACATTCATATTTACCCTGGATGAAAGCTAGAGGCACAGACAAGATGAGCTGGCTGCCAGGTTCACAAGCAGTGAATTTCAGCCTGTCCTTTCTAACCTATTCTTCTGTCAAGCAGCTAAAACTAATGCACAGCCCAATATACAGCAAGGAAGCTGCTTTCACTCTGCTCTGAGACGTGTGTGTAATTAGTTGATCTTTTCTGTTCAGACAGTTAATAGTCCCCAGAATATTTTGTGTTTAATAGACAAAGAAAACACAGTGGATTTTTGTTATCTAATTCTAGTGTGGCTTCTTGCTGCTCTGTGTGGGAAGTTCCTTGTGGAAGAATTGAGGAGGAAAAAGCCTTTCGTAATCTTTTAAGATGAATACAGAGTTTCCTGGGCTACAGTGTAGGAATAATTAGCAATGAAGCACCCGTGGGGAGAGACGTATCAAATAGGATATCACTGGATCAGTATTTGGTCTGGTATTAATTAGTGAAAATACCAATTAAGGTTTCTATTAAAAAATCTGGAAGATAAAATGAAGCATTCATTGTTCAAATTTATAGAGGCCAACTAGCTACAGAATGATTGATCAAGAGATTTTCGAGTAAGAGGCAACTTTTAACTGGAATAAGATTTTAATTTAGATAAATGTTAACTAATGCACAAGAGGGTAACACTTTGTAAAACGAAAAGCTGCTGTTTAAAGATCAGTAATGCAAAGAACTTAGGAGAGTGGGTAACAAATGGGGCACAAATCCCAATACCATAGAGCTTTAAAAAGACAAATAGCTTTCCTGCCTGTATAAGGAGTGAAAAGAGAGGTTGTTTGTAGGACAGTGGCCATGAAAATCAGTGTCCTGTGTTTTCAGTGTGGCAGTGCACGTGCAAGGCTTCAAACTCTTGTTCACATTAAAAATAACAAACAAACAAACAAAAAAACCACAATATCTACACACAAAAGTTCCATACCTCTGTGTATGGGAACTGTTGTGTCAGGGCCTGAAGCACTGATTGATCACCTGAGGTGAGCACTGAGTCAGCCTTGGAGCACAGGTGAAGGCGATTCAGCTGTGTGATGGAAGGGCTGGAGCCTGGCTGCCAGACCCTATTTAAGGGCTGACTGCCATGGGGAAGGGTCTTTTTCTGGAGGTCCTTGTTTTTAGAGTTTTTCTGAGAGCCTAGGATATGGGTGAGCTTTTTTTTTATTATTATTATTATTTCCTTCTACAGTGGTAATCCTTCTTGTTATATGACCTGTAAAATACCAGCCTGCCCATGCCACTCTGCTAATTGCATATCTGTTGATTGTATCTTCTGTTTGGTGGGGAAGGCTGGTGAACACGTGTGTAACTCGACCAAGGAAAGAAATTTTGAGAAACAAGTGTTGTTGAGTTTCTTTTTAGAGCTGTGGGCATTGTTCTAAGAGCCATTTCATCCAGGCTGAACTGCCATCACAGTCTGTTGGTTATCACAGCGTGGTGCTCTTGAGGAATGAGCTGCCTCTTGGAAGAAAGAAGAAAAGCAAATTGCTCTTTGCATGTGTGGAAGAGGTCAGAGGTAGAAAAATCTCAAAATGCTTCAGTTTAGGAATTACAGACCAGCCATCTGGTCTAACAGTGCCATGCTAACTATTTGCAACAGAGTATGTACTGCATAAAGCTATCTGTGTGTCTGCATGAGTGCCTGCATGTGAAGATTTTGTATTATACTTAAGCATTATGAAAACTGAGATATGTGCCATGTGTTGGCACTACACCAGTGACAAATCTATGCATATGAAAATCACAGTTTACTGGTGACATTTTAAAGTCTTCTTTCTCCCCTTTTTAAACAAGATCTTCTTATACAGAGTCAATGCTATCATTAGCATATGCTTAGGACTTAATAGTAATAGCCTGTGATTTCACAACATTGTAGAGCAGCTGAGGTTGTAAGAAACTCCTGGAAATTGTCTAGTGCAACCCCCTTGCTCAAAGCTGAGTTAGAAAGGCTGCTCAGAGTTGCTTCCAGTCAGGTTTTGTGTGTGTCCAAAGTTGAAACACTGGAAGCCAGTACTCAGGAAGTTTCATCGCTGTTTAAAGGAGTCAACAGATGGTGACATAATCTGAGTTTAAAGGAGGAAAAAAAAATGGGAATTCATGTATTTTGCTGTCTGTCCCCTTTTAATTATGCACAGTGTGCTGCTGGGAAGTCAGTCTCCACTGCCCTTCCCACTCTCACCTCCAAACCCATCAGGTATTTAAGTATATCAGGCTGAATAGTCCCAGTTCTCTCAGCCTTTTCTCCCATTACAGATGCTCCTGTCACTTAATTATCTTTGTGCCTCTTTGCTGGGCTTGCTCCACTATCCCCATATCT